TGGCGATACGAGAAGATGGTCTAGAGCACGTTCTGCTGGAACCTGTTTAACTACATTTCATGTCTGTGTTATGTTTTACTGTGATTGCGCCGCGTTCTCCGTGTTAGATTACACTCTTAACAAAGACCTTCAGTAAAGACAGTGGTTCTGTATGGAACCACAAGCGCTCAGAGAACCCTTTACACGCTTGAATGGTTCTCTGCATGGTGAAATGGCTCTTCAGACTGATGGAGAATGTGTTGTATGTGGTTCTATATAGCACTGTTTTAAACAAGCTTGACATCATAACAGTAGGAGAACCTTCCTCAAAAAGATTCTGTGTAGAACCAAATACAGCACATTCTCCATCAGTCTGAAGAACCATTTCACCATGCAGAGAACCATTTAAGCATGCAAATGGTTCTTTGATTATTCAGGGTTCTATGCTCTTAAAAAAAAGATGGTTCTTTGAGGCTTCTAGTAAAGACAGTGGTTCTATATAGAACCATGAACACTCAAAGAACCCTTTGCATGATTATGCATCATGAAAGTGTTCTTAAGCATGTGCTGTAGATGTTTCTGTGTAGAACCTTTTTTGAAAAGGGTTCTATATAGCATCCAAAAGGGTTCTTCTGTTGTTACGATGTCAAACTTGTTACAATAGAAGAACCCTTTTGAACCATTTCACCATGCAGAGAACCCTTTAATCATGTGGATGGTTCTTTGAGTGTTCACGTTTCCATACTGAGCCATTTCCTTTGCTAAGGACCCTTGAAGAACCGTGTTCTCCCCTGTGCTGTGAGTGTTGGGTTCTGGGAGCTGTGAGGCTCTGCGGGCTGAGTGCTCTGTAAGCTCAGCGCTGCTTTATTTGCATTAATAATTCACTCTTCACTCTGTTTCCTTCCCAGCTTTCTGTGTTCATTAAAACTGCATCACTTCCTTCTGCGCTCCTCCTCTCCGTCCATCGCTCTGCTCTTCATCCCTTCATCCTCATCCTCTACTCCGCTGCTCCTCCATGACGTAGAGCCAGAACAGAAGTATATCCTGAGAAATAGGATTTTCCTTCAGATCTCATTGTCTGGTTGTTTGTAATGGATCTCAGGCCTGTTTGTCTGAGCTGGGCTCCTCCAGGCTCCTCGTTGTTGGAGCTCCGATGTTGGTTTTGGGAGCCTGTGTGGAAAACATCTCAAATATTCAGCCTCTGCTAGATCAGTGTGTGTGATGGAGAGGTTTGGGGGTGGGATTAATGGGCAGTGAGGGCACCAATCAGAATGAAGGAAGAAGAATGTGTTTAAGAATGGAACACGCAGTGTGGATTGAATTAAAATGATCTAAAAATGTGACTGTTAGAACGTAGACGAGTGTAACGGAGTTAAACATGATCCAGCCTCACCCAGAGGCTGAACCGACTAGACAACAACAACAAGATAATAATAATAATAATAATAATAATAATAATAATAAAAATTAGGGGTGGTGATATTACAGTATTTTATCGTTATACTGATCAATTCTGTCACAATATCCTTTTCTTAAGAAGGCTGATCACTTTCATATATTTTGGGATTGTCCAATAGTGTCAATAAAGGCACGAGATTAGAAATACTATAAGGACTTATTTAGAATTCAGTTTGAGTTTTGATGGGTCAATATTAATTTGAGAAACTACTTAACTACCTCAGGTAGTAGGAAAGAAAGATAAATACTTTATTAAAATATTATTGGCAGCCAGTAAAAAGACCATAACAATGAGAAAATGGATGCAGAAGAACCCCCAACACACACACACACACACACACACACACACACACACACACACACACACACGCACCCAACAACCAAACAGTGGACTGAAATTGTCTATGAAGTTTATTCGATGGAAAGAGTTACATTTTTGTTAATGATGATGGAATATTTTACTAAACATTGGTAAAAGTGGATCTTAGGGCAATTAGCACACATACATAAGTGGCTGTGTGTGAGGTAAAAGTGTGTGACCACTGGTGTTTGTAAATTGGCCTTGTAAGCACTTGGATACTAGATTATGTGACTGACACCCTGTTTTTAGTTATGTTTATAATTATTTGGTTTATTTTATAAAAGTTATCCAGAGTTAAGTGTAAAATGAGAAGTTATAAAAAAAGCTTTTCTGAGTATATTGTGGATATGGTCAGTACTCGAACACTGACCAGCTTACAGAGAGCATAATTAGTCCTATTTAATTGGATTTAGTGCAGCTCAGAGAATGAAACGCTGAATAAAAGTTATTGTATTTATTGTTTTGATAATATGTTTAAAATTTGGGACTTTTTTGTCTGTTCCAACTTACCGAACTTCGGGAAAACTGATGCATATTGTTGATCATGAAAATGTCCTCAAGTATCATAATATGCCATTTATCATATATTTATCACATATCACCCACCCCTGTTAATAATAATAATAATAATAATAAAATTAATAAAAAATAATAATAGCTATATTATTATTTATTAGATATTTAGCATTAAATCAAACTTGGATGCATCAGTACAATTCAAGCTTCAACCACCTCACCTACAACAATCCCACCGTGTTTATACGATTAATAACAGAGGAGGTTTAGTGTACGAGCAAATAAATCACACAAAGCAGTAAAATCAGTCCAGAGCAGTTACATTATAGAGGATATCAGGTGAAACACAGGTGTTCTGTCCAGGAGCCGCGTTACAGAAACTTCTCACCTTTGTTCCTGAGTTAAGATTTTTTAGGTCAAGATAAGATTTTTCATATATTTGTAGATGTACAGAAGCAAATCTGATCTTAATTTAGGAATCTAATCTGATCTTACAGCATCTTATCTCCAGTTAGGAAATCTTACCCTACAACACGTCATCAAAATAACGTTAAAATGTGAGTTAAGCTGCTGTTTCTGATGTAAAAAAGGTCAAACAGAACTAAAGAGTGATAAGCTGTGAGTAGTGAATACTGTGAGAGCGCCCCCTGCTGTTTATCAGAGCGTCGCCGCTCCCCAGTTTCAGTCTCCATTTCCCAAACGCTTTAGCCGAGCGCGCTAACGTTACTCCTCCTAATAAACAGACACACGTTCAGCTCCATCTCCTCATTATTCACCACCATCACTGTAATATTTCATCATCAACATTAACACACGAAGGTGATCAGAGGGGCGGTGGAGATCGAGTCTGCAGCGTCTGAGATCTTTAAAACGCAGAGTTAGAAAAGAAAATCATCTCACAGTGAAAGCAGCGTTTTACAGTAGAGATAAATGGAGCTCATTATGCTGGTAGTGAACTATGCTGCTGACTCAGCTGCCTAAAAACCATAGAAACGGACCTTAAACAGAAGTGAGGACCCTGTTGGGGTTCATCCTAAAGTTAGGACAGGATTTAGGAGGTTCAGTCTAGTTAGGATGTTTGTGTGATGCTGTTTTCTTATTCTTCCGTCTGATTGAATTAAGCTTTCTCGTCACTCAGCAGCTGAACTGAAGTGTCTGTAAGTCTGTAAGTCTGTAAGCGCTGCTTGCTGTGCTGACAGGCCTTATTGGGTATTACTGGAAACAGGAAGTGGGCTGCAGCCACAAAGTGATGTCACCGGAAGTATGAGATGTTATCACTCTTCTGGGAGAGAGAGAGTGAAGGAATGAGGAGTGAGTGTGAGGGTGAAGCCCTGCAGACCTGCAGAAATGTAAACATTTACAGCAGCGCAGTTCAGCTGGTCTTACTCTCTCTGTGTCGCTGACAGATTCATATTTATTATTATTATTCTATTAATAATAAGAGGCTCTATTTGGTTATTTATATTATTGTATTGTTACAATGTTGGTCATTATCAATAATTAGTGAAAGGCTATTTATCATTATGGGTCATCACTGCATCATTATCGGTCATTACTGATCATTACTGCAATGTTATTTGTCGTTAGTGGTCTTTACCGCAAAACTACTCATTACCGATCATCACTGCATCACTATTAGTCATTACCGATCACTGTTAGTCATTACCGATCATCACTGCATCACTATTAGTCATTACCGATCACTGTTAGTCATTATTAATCAGCACTGCATTGCTTTTAATCATTACCGATCATCACTGCACCGCGTTTAGTCATTACCGATCATAATTGCATTGCTGTTCGTCATTACCAGTCATCACTGCATCGCTATTAGTCATTACCAGTAATTACTGCATCTCTATTAGTCATTATTGATCATTACTGCATCACTATTAGTCATTACCAATCAATATTAGTCATTATTGATCATCACTGCGTCATTATTAGTCATTACTGATCATCACTGCATCACTATTAGTCATTACCGATCATCACTGCACCGCGTTTAGTCATTACCGATCATAATTGCATTGCTGTTCGTCATTACCAGTCATCACTGCATCTCTATTAGTCATTATTGATCGTTGCTGCATCACTACTTGTCATTACCATCATCATTATCTCTTTGTCGTTACTGATGATTGCTTTATTGATATTGATTCTTAACGGTCATTACTCCATCACTGTTGCTGAACCAGTTAGATGATTGGCAGGATTGTGCAATTGTCAATAAAAATATGAATATTGAATATATGAATATTGAAGGGGTCCAAGGACAGAACCCTGAGGCACTCCCTGAGTAAAAGGTGTGAGGATGATATAAATACGTTCATCTGTTGATACAAACTGCTTCCTCATAGTAAGACTGAGACTATTCGAGGGCTGATCTGCAGATCACGATGGATGCATTATGAGATTGAACACACTGAGACACTACAGAAATGACATCTTCACTCATTACTGTGTGTGAGTGTGTGTGTGTGTGTGTGTGTGTGTGTGTGTGTGTGGATGCTGGAGTGCTGGTAGGTAGAAGTTTCCAGAAGCTGTTGTCTCTCCTGTCGATGGAGCTCAGGAAAGCTTCCTGTCATTGTTTTTGCTGCTGGAAACGTTTTGTCTCCAAAGCGCAGATCAATTCTGATGTTTGTGTTTTTTCTCTCTCTTCCATCTTTTTCTCTCTTTTTCTCAGCGAGTCCAGTATTTGTCAGGCTCGTGCTACGGTAATGACCTACGATGACACGAATAAGAAGTGGATTCCGGCAGGTAACGGCCCGCAGGTCTTCAGCAGAGTTCAGATCTACCACAACCCCAGCACCAACGCCTTCAGAGTGGTCGGCCGCAAGATGCAGACTGACCAACAGGTGCGTTTCAGTGGTCTATCACTAATCTTTCCTGTTAAGTGTCAGCCTTGTGATCTGTTTCATGCCCATATTAGGAAATCTGGGTCTGAGCTGTTTTTCTCTATGGGGAAAAAATAATCAGCATTTTCAGAAATCACTGCCGTAGCGCTTTGGGCTGAACAAAAATGTTCCAGTGTTTCGTCCTGTGTGCGTTTTTCTCCTGAATTTCACCAGCTTGTCTGAATTATGATGTCGTTTAGCAGTTAAAAATGAAAAATACTACAAGCAGGCTAACAGTCCTGACCACTGAAACGACGTCATATGAAAGAGAGTCTATTATTAAACATCAGCGCTGTTATATACCAACACCAGCTGCTCAAACTGCGGCCTAAAACTGACCAAGTCGGGCTCCCAAGCGTAGCTGGAGTTTTTACAGGTTATTTTTAACTGATTGTATCTGCGCTGTGTTGATGGGCCTTTTTAGCCCTTGATAGCTCTACTCGTGTGGGAGTAGTTTCACATGGGGAGGTGGGTAACATGGTTTTACCGGTGTATTTCAGTGATTTTGGTCTCGTCTAAATGTGCCATGTCAGTCATTTTTATCAACTCCTGCATTAGTATAGATTCTGGCATCTTTTACTTTCCATAAATTCAGTCATAGAAGAAACTCAGCTTATATTAAACTGTGTAAATTGACATGTTAGTAAAATGCTATTACAGAGTTTCTTAAGTATGGAGGCTCTAAGAAGTGTTCACCTTTGTAACGTTTTCCCACCTCGCATACAGCTCAGAGAATTTACAGACGAAGTTTAATTTTAAGCAAAGTTGACTGTTTGCGGTGAATTCCCGAGGTGATGGAGATGCTGATGGCACACTGCATTCACTTATGACAGCCGGGCGAATGGTTAGGGTGAACAGAGTCTAAATGAAATGTTTGATGTGTTTTCTGATCTTCTCTGGAGTGAAGGTGGTGCGTAAATCGAGTAGCCGCTCCCACCTCTGTCATTTATGCTGCGTTCACATGTTTGCGGTGAAACAGTTGTCATTCCACACCTTGTAACGGTGCAACGGCGGTGCGAAGCTGGAATTCAACAACGAGACGTTCGGCATCCACAGATCCCAAAAAATCGACATCTGGTTTATTCCGCCGCTGCGACGACGGCAGAAGTTGGGGAAGTTGAACTATAGATGAACGCAAACAGCTGGTAGATGGGATTTGGCGACGTTCCAGGTTTTCCATCTTCAGCTGACAGGGTCCGTCTGGGCACGCTGTAGAACGGGGGACGGAGTAAAGAGGCTCTGGGGGGCTTTATTATTATTAAATACTTCCCTGTTTAAATACTTAAATACTTTCATCTGTTTATGTGAGACTCGTTCAGTTCCGGCTCATTTTGGTCCAAAAACACACTTCACAGTTTCCCAGCGTCCTCTGCGTCCGCTCCACTGTTTACTGAGCACCACTCCACTCACTTCCTGTGTCACGTCCTGTGTCACTGAGGGAATTCTGTCCATCTTTTCTTCACATCTCATTCACTCCAGTGCACTGTTAATGTCTCTCTCTCTCTCCTATTCCCTCTCCCTCTCTCTCCCTCTCTCTCTCTCTCTCTCTCTCTCTGGAATTCGGGGCTGTAAAATAAACAGAACTGATCTGTCAGCATATTTCACACAGCACTCTCTCTTTTCTTCTTGCTCTTTCACTCTCAACAGTCTTATCTCAGCAATGAGGCGCCACCTGCTGGGCAGGATGATAAAACACTTTGTATTTCCAAAAAAAGTAAATGACTGGAACATTTGCAAAACAATTATTAGAACATGTATTAAAATTTTATTTGTCCTTTCAATGCTTGAAAAAGTGCAACATAGATGATGTAGATTAATGAAAGCACCAGAGAACCTGACTGAACGCAGATTAATCTGGCCTTTGTGGCTGCACAGTGTACATGTATGAACTGTGACCTTTGACTTAACCTGGGCAGTCCTTGTCTTAAAGTTCACATAAGCAAAATCTCCACCAATCACAAAGCTGATGTGGAGCACATCTACACAGCTTAAAAAACTGTGCCTCTTGAAAGCCGGGCACTGTGTGAAAACTAACCATCGATTAAAAACTAACCATCGATTAAAAGCTGACCACAGAGCGAAAGCTAACAACCGAGCGAAAGCCGACTGTCGAGCGCTTAGACTCAGACTGGTCTGATGAGCAGTTTTAGCCATGTTTTATTATATTATCATGTTGTTTCTTTCTTTTAAACTTTGCTGGATGTAACAGAAGCCTGACCGTGTTCACTGTTTCAGCGCATGAAAAAGCCTGAGCTGTCGTGTTGTTTGGTGTGTTGTTTTGAATATTAATCCGCTTCACTGTGTATTTTTGATGTTTTTAGGTGGTGATAAACTGTCCAATCACAAAAGGGCTGAAGTATAATCAAGCCACGCCCAATTTCCACCAGTGGCGGGATGCGCGGCAGGTTTGGGGTTTGAACTTTGGCAGTAAGGAGGACGCCACGCTGTTCGCTAACGGCATGATGCATGCGCTGGATGTGCTCAGCTCCATGCCTGACTCAGGTAAAAACAAACAAAAAGGATTAGTTTGCAAAAATCTCAAATATGCAGTTTCCCCAAAAATAGTTGGTCTAATGTACAAAGAAAATCTCTAAAAGTTTGTTAGAGTCACTAGAAACTGTTGCAGCTCCTTGAAGTCTGAGCTTAGTCTGTACTTTAGTCCATGTTTGTAGATAAGTGTGTCACACAGGGTCAGAAGCAACGTGATCAAGTGTTCCACCTTAAATGCTGCAGCAGTTGTGTTGTGGCACCTGAGGGGCCAGAATGTAACTGCTGTGCCATTTAAGGTGGAGGAGAAAATTCAGACACCAAGCACGTCTTGGCTAATCGACTGTGTTTGCGGTACGAGTGAGAGGCTCTGTAGAATCGTGTGATATTTTCTCTGGACCTCACTGAAAATAATTTTCTGTCTGTGCTCCTCCTGCAGGATACGCAACTCTCCCTCGTCCAGTTTCTAACGGACCATCGCCAGAGGAGCTGGAGCAGCAGAGACGGTAAGTTAGTGCTCACACGGGGTCGATCACTCAGACTGTACTGAGCAATAATGATCAGACTGAGCGGTTACGTCAAACACATCTCTTTGCCTCTTCATCTTCACTGTAGTAGCATTTACCCAGTGATGTGTTGAGTTTTCTCACAGCTCATTACTGCAGTAACAGGTAAACGAGTGTAGCGTAACCGTTAGGAGTGTAATGGTACGTTTTCATCCCGGACCGTCACGGTACGGCCGATACGGCTCGGGTCATGCAGGCATACAGAGAGTATGGGGCCTGTGTGAAAATTGATGAGTGTAATGCAGAACCAAACTTCACAAGTGCGAGTCGTACACAAGTCCCACCCGGAAACCTTAAGCTGTAAGTTGTTAGCAAGTTAGCAGCGGTGGTCCGCGGAGGACCCTCTCTCTGCAGCTAGTGCCAAACGATCCGGCCTATCGAGGATTCATAACTGCAGCAGCGTCATACGTCCTGACCCGATCAGCTGAGAGGCCGAGTTTGAGGTGGACAGTGAGTGAGAGTGTAACATACCATGCCATGAATGTAAGTGTAGTGTAAGCATGGAAACAGGTTAGCCTCACCATAGAAACTGGTGTAGTGTAACAATGGAAATGATTATATATGTAGCATTGGTATTGGTGTAGCGTGGGCGTAGGTGTGACATGGGTGTGGCGTGTGTACAGGGGTCGTGTGGTTATAGGTGTAATTACACTCATATTAAAAGTGTATTAGACACTTATGACCTGTAAGTCTGTGCATTCTGAGTCCGTGCGCAGTTAATCAGAACAGGACCGCTGTGTTCTCGGTGCGCTGCAGGCGCTGTGGGGTTAAGCTGCAGACGCAGGATCCTGGTGTTATTTGTTTTGGCTGTGCTGATAAGCGTCCGTAGGTGGGGCTGATTCATGTCTCAGCATGATTAAATGTTTCTGAAATGTTTCACTCAGCGAGCAGCTCTTTCATCAGCTTTTTTTAGGGTGTTTTCAGATCGTTTTTCAGGAGTCAGTCATCTGTGTGCGCTGTGAGCTAATCTGTACACATTACCTCCGCAGACTGGAGCAGCAGGAGAGAGAACGGCTAGAGAGAGAAAGACTGGACAGGGAGCGACTGGAGAGAGAGCGACAGGCTGCTTCAGGTCAGCGCCAAACACTTAAATGGCCCATGTTAAAGGAGTAAAATAGGATCTGTGTAGAAGCTACACTTTGCTTTCAAAAATGTGCCATTCAGTCCCTCGCCCAAACACGGAAACTACACTGTGGAGCATCGTCATGACTGTGATGTCACAACCATGAACACGTTTACATATGACCATCCATTCAGACTATAACAGTTTATTTTAGCCCCGCCCATTCAGCCTACAGCAGTCTAGCCCTGCCCATTCAGCCTACAGCAGTTTAGCCCCGCCCATTCAGCCAACAGCAGTTTAGCCCCACCCATTCAGCTCATTTACATATATCAGCTAAAAAAAGCATAGTAGTAAACAGGCTGATTGATTCTAAAGGATGAAGGATGAAAAACTGACATGTAAAATTAATTCTTTAAGATGTAAATAAGAACAGAAAGAGAGAAAGTAGCAGAGCTTCACTCTCTGTGTTTTTGTTTTCAGTGGTCATTCCTCCTGCGCCGCCTTTGGCCCCTGGAGCCCCCCCAGCTCCCCCTGGTCCCCCACCCCCTCCTGGGCCCCCACCTCCCCCGGGTCCTCCTCCGTCAGGGGGCGCTCCGCCACCTGCGCCTCCACTACCTGCTCCCACCGGTGGGGGTGGTGGTGGTGGTCCGGGGGGTGGTGGTCTGGCAGCAGCACTCGCAGGAGCCAAGCTGCGCAAAGTAGCCAAGGTGAGGGAAAGTTAACCAATCAGCTTTGTGGCTTTAGTTAATAATTTCAAGTTTACCGTCTGCTGAACATGATTCATCACGTTTCTGCATCAACACCTCTGATGTCATCTGTCTGACTCCTCCCTGAGCCACTTCCCAGAATGCACCAGTCATTAGGCACCTGATCAAACAATACTTAAATAAATGGATATGGGGATAAAATAGATAGATAAATAAATAAATCATTAACATTAAATAAGAAGCCTGTTTTGAAAGTGTAGTGAGTAGAAAGTACAGTTTTTTTAATTCAGTGAGTAAAAGTAAAAAGTATTAAGTGAATGAAATTCTGAAGTACAGACACTTTATTTAAGTACAGTAACAGAGTACTGGTACTTTGGTACTTACCACTTCTGCTTCTGACAAACTGAGGTTCTGTTCACCAAGAGTTAAATAAGCAGCACAGATACAAACATGCGGCGCTTTGTTTAAGCCTGAGTGATATAATAATAAATATGAATATGTAGATTAATGTTGTAGCTCTTCAGTCTGCAGCATCGCTTAACCAGTTTAAGGTTTGTTTTTATTTTAACGTTCACTAGATGAGCCGTGTGTTTTTCAGGAAGAGCAGTCAGTGCTACCACTAATCATGCTGATGTTTACAAAATGGGCCGTGTTCTAAGCTAATTAAGCGTTTGTAGTGTTTATCTCGCTGACTGTGCTGTGTGAGTTTGTGTTCTACGTTCTCCACTGAAACCCTGTCACTCCTGTATTCACTGTACTGCGTCTCTGTGCTGCCCCCAGCCGGATGAAGGTGGTACTGCGCCTCCTCTTCCTGCTGCTGCGGCTCCTGCGGCCGCGCCTCCTAAACCGGACGCCAGCCGCACCAGTGGCGTGCCCAGCGGGGGGGATTTGATGGGGGAAATGAGCGCCATCCTGGCCAGACGGTGAGAACCACACCTCACACACCAGCTCCGGTTCTAAAGGGCTTAAGTCCAGTTTGGTGATTTTGCTGCTCTTTCAGCATCAAACTGTCGAAAAACACTACATTCTTCTGGACTTAAAGCGCTTCAGGTCCAGAAATTGGTCTGTAATACGTGTTTCACTCATTTTCGTACTTTTTAGAAGCAGCTTGGAGGAGCAGAGCTGTGCAGTCCTGACATTTTAGCAGACATTTGTCTTATAAATAATTGGGATTAACAGTTTAACTTTCCTTATTCGTTGTATGTAACTATTAAAATAGAAGTCCTGAGTCACAGATCTGCTGCTGAAACGTGGCTCCAGATTTGTTTCTCATTTTTAAAGGTGCAGTGTTGAGATTTAAGAGGATCTATTATCAGAAATAGAAAACAGTAAAGTAAACTGTGTTCATCAGTGTATAATCAGCTGTAAACCTGAATCGCTGTGTTTCCGTTATCTTAGAATGACCCCTTCGTATCTACACAGAGGCCGCCATGTTTCTACAGTAGCCCAGAGTGGACAAACCACACACGGGCTCTAGAGGGCGCCTTTGCGTTTCTACACTGTAGCAGCATCTTGAATTTGGTGGCGCTGTAGCTCCGGTCAGAAGACGCAGAAAGAAGAAGAATCGCTGGAGCTGCCGGTGCTGCTGAACATTCTGTGTTGTGAGAAGTTTGAGAACCTAAATTTAGACAAATGAAGGATCAAAGTTATTATTTAGCGCAAGAAAAAGCGAGAGAGGGAGAATCCTCACCATCAGAGAATAGACAGACAGACGACGGAGAAAATCAGACGTTCTACTACACGCTTGGAAAGGGAGGGGTGAGGGAGGGAATTCAGCTGGTTGCAGTCTGCAACTTCACCACTAGATGCCACTAAATCTTACACACTGCACCTTTGAAGAGATACAGAATTATCCCTGGATATAATTTCAACCTTTCAAGCCCTGATTTACCTGTTTGTCCTGAAGGCTTTCTTCTAAAGCGTCTGCTGTCGTTCTGCTGGTGTATATTTTGTCTCACTGTGTGTGTTTTTAGGAGGAAAGCAGCAGATAAAGGAGAGAAAGTTCCTCCAGCTCCGAAAACAGAAGAACCCAGTAACGTAAGTGCTTTGTGTGCAGCACTCATTTATTACAGCAGTTCACATGGTGTTTATAAAGTGCATATGAAGTGCTTGTAAAGTTCTTATGAAGTGTTCAAACATTGCTTATAAAATGCTTATGAAGCCCTTATGATGTGCTTATTAAATGGTTATGCAGTGTGTATGAAGTCCTTAAGAATCTCTTGTGATGTACTTATAGATTGGTTATAAAGTTACTATGAAACAGTAATAGTGTTTGTCCATTTGCTTATTAAACATGCCTGAAGCCCTTACGAAATATTTATGCAGTTCTTTTAAAGCCCTTAAGAAGTGCTTGTGATGTGCTTATGAAGTACATATGAAATGGTTATGCATTGCTTATGAAGTGCTTATTACAGTCACAAATGGGGCACCTTACATAATCCATGTTTTGTAAACCTTGCGAAGTGTTTATTGAGGCTGGAGTGGCCAAAGCTGAAATGCAGAGGGGTCCATTACTTTTAACATAGTTAGTTATTGTCTGTAAAGACATTTTATACAGTAAAAAAAAGATTTTCACTGAACTAAAAATGCCACATTCAGCAAACAGCGAGGAAGACGAGGGCAGAAACACACATCAAATGCAAAGTTCAGTTAAAGATAAAAGTTCAGTTAAAGATAAAAGGTTCAGTTAAAGGTAAAGTTTGTTCTGATTGGCTGAGAGTTTGTGTTACATTTTGTGTGAAGGATCTTTTCTGTCATTCATGTTTTTATTTATTTTGTTTTATAAATCCTTCTTTCTGTGCATTTTTTAATTTCTTAATTTCTGGTTTACTGGGTTGTAGCTGTTGTTTTTAATGTGCTCTGTAAATAAATGCTGTTTATCAGAGTTATTAACCTGTTTTCTGTTCTTGTTGTGGTTCTGTTTGTCCTTCAGCAGGACGATTCTGACGCTCAGGGCCAAACTGGTAAGATCAGTTACGGTGATGTTCTGTGCTCTCGACTCTCAGCGTGTAAACTATGCTTATTAGTTTGTTTTTGTTTTGTTAACAGTTGATTTGCTGTTTTTTTTGCTCGCAGATACTCTGAGGAGGCCGTGGGAGAAATCTGCCACCATGCCCAGGTAAAACTCCCAGCATGCCTCTGCCTTTTCTGTGACCTTTTTAATTCTTTAGGGATTATTTTTGCAGACCTTCCAACCGTTTCCAGTCTCCTGGACGAAGAGATCTCCAAAAAACCCAAAAACGTTTAGGCTGAAGCCCCTTAAAGGGCCGATGTCTTTTCAAATAAAAGCGTTTGATTGATTGATTGATTGATTGATTCTTTTATTGCCACAGTAGTACAATACGTACAAACATATATATATATATATATATATATATATATATATATATATATATATATATATATATACGGAGAACTATATATATGTTGAATGTTGTATTTTAATGTATTATGTAAACACTCTTAGTATTTCAACACACACGGCTCACTCTCCAGTACATACAGTCCATATATGGAAACTAAACTGAAAAAAACAACCTGTTTTAAATTCCTGTTTGTGATGTCACAACTATGAACCCATTTAGACACGCCTTCCCATTCAGCCTACAGCAGTTTAGCCCCACCCATTCACTCTAGTCAGAGACTGTAGAAGCTGTGGGCCCTTTTAATGGTCAGTGTTTTGGTTGGGGATGAACTCCTGGTCAGTAGGTGGAGTGAATGAGCAGTATGTGTTTCAAACAGGAATAATTCGGTTCCCAGAGGGCTGGACTCCCCCTCCTTCAGCACCATGAGCCCCAGGTACATATATACACGTTACAGTGCAGCTGGGTGGGTCTCCGGTGGTCCGTATGAGCCTCTGCTGACTAACACACGTTTCAGTCCTCCTGTTCATCTCTGAGCTGAGCTGAGCTGTTTTGTTTTGACTAAGTAGTTTTGTATCTTCTGACTCATCTCTGTTCCTGTTTTGGTTTTTGTGGTTTGAATGAATGTTGTGCTGTTTACTGACTCTCTCCACAGGAGGGCGCTGTGGTGCACTTTCTGATGTTTCAGGTTAAACTCTGCAGATAAACCCGTCTCAAAGGTCCATCAGTTGCAAATCTGAGACACACACAAAACGCACCAGCTCTCTGTTTCAGGACTGGTTTGTATGCCATGCTGACCACTCATAAAGGGGCAGAGGGGAGAAAATTAAAATTTTCAGCAGGAACACACATAAAACCATGTCCCAAAATAGAGTCCTAGGACCTGGGGTCCTCCTTAAAGTGCACACCTTGGTGACATAATCAGTTTGTATATGGGATGTTGATAAAATCACATGAAACGTAAGACTCATGCTCAGCTGTTTATTTCTGCTGGAAGTCTATCACTTTATATTCCAGTGTAAATCTGTAACAGGAGTGGGGCTGAATGAGCTCCACCTGACCCGTCGCCCGGGCCCCTGTGAAGCCTTTGATACGGGTCGATCTGTAGAGGTTGGGTTGTGCTTTCTGCATGTTCACTGAAGGGTTTGGCTGACGAGGGAAAGCTGCCAGTTTAATCCAGATCCTTTTTTCTTTCTCTTCTTTTTTTCCCATGTTTCCCTCCTGTTTCTGTTATTTTGTCCATTTACCTTCATCACTCTCTCTTTCTCTCCGTCAGGCTGAAAGCTGCAGTGACCACCAACGAAACAGAGAGCGGAGAGGAGTCAGAGTTAGAAAGAATCAAACAAGTGAGAATATGATCAGTACCGTTGTACGTTAAGCTGAAACTTCGCTGAAATAAGTGGTCATTTTACTCACCTCTCTGTGTGTATTTGTGCAGGAGTTGCTGGAGGAGGTCAGGAAGGAGCTGCAGAAGGTTAAGGAGGAAATCATTGGAGGTAAAACTCAAACCCAGTCGTTCAGTAACTGAGTGTGAGATGTGAACAGAGTGACTCAGAGTGGTTTGGTGTGAAATGGAGATGTCTTTACAGTGGTGGTGATAGGAACCAGGGGTCGCCATGACTACAACACAAATATAGACATTTTATTTACTATCCAGAACCACCAGTGAACCTACACGAGTCTTCTGAGTTTATATGGAATGTTGATGATGGAAAATAGTGGAAAATCTGAAATAATAAGTTTTCTTTGGGGACTATTTTTCCTCACAGCGCCCTGCATGTATCCCTCCACCATGAATGGAGTTTAAGTTCTCTAAACTATCATAAAACAGTGTCTCAGTCATCAGGCAGTGAATTCATAACCATTTCATGTAGGAACTTTCTGTGAAGGAGCTTTTAGAGGTGGACATCTGGTTCCTATCACCACCACTGTGAACAGTTCTGACTCTGTAAGTTTATCTAGAACAGAGTGTTTCACACCGAACCGCTCTGAACCGCTCTGTTTACATCTTAACCACTTAATTATGCAGGACTTTTGAAAACATGGTGGAATTCCCCTTTCAGTACATTTAAATATGCACAATAGCCGTCTTAGTTTTCAGTTCGTCTAAGGAACAGGACCGCACCACAAGCTGTTTAGAGGTACATTTGTAGTTCTGTTTATATGCGTGGCAGCACCCCCTGCAGGCCTGAACTGACATGAAACATGTACATTGTGTAGTTGAGAGTGAGGAACTAAAGTGTGAGCCACACACAGCAGAGTGAACGCTTACAGCCAAATCTCTCGCCAGTCCCACACAGCAAGAGGACAGAGGAAAATGAGCCATGAAATGTCCACTTTTCATCATTCATTTTCCTCTCACAGTCCAATTTAATTATTTTTCCTTCATTTCTGTCTCTCATTATCTTTTGTAAATTAATTTAGTTAAAAATTTTAACAGCAAAATCATAAAAGCAATGGATTGTACAGCTGTATCCACTGTAGCACAGTGTCAGCATAACATTTTCAACAAAATATATCAGGCCTAGTCATTCATTTTTGTCTTAGTTTATTTTACAAAATAAAAGTCTGTGCGCATTTAAAATCTGTTTGAGGAGGTAAAAAAACTGGTTAGACCCTGTATGCTGGACAGCAACCTGGGTGGTCTAAGGGTGGACCAGCAGCAGCGTACAGCCAGCAGGGGGCCACCTTATCAAACCAGTGGGCAGATATATGCTCACTATCTGGATTGTTAGCTGTGAGCTGTAAGTTTTAGCTTTGATTATTTAACCTATTTATTGTTTTCTCTCCTCAGCGTTTATTCAGGAGTTACAGAAGAGGGGCTCCACATAGACCCCCAGCGTGGGACACACTCCTCCTCCAGTTAGCAGCCCAGGGATACACACTCACACACACTGATAACGAACGCAGGGACTTCCTCCGTCAGCGGCTCCACTCTGAGGATCATTTTACTCATTATCGTTATTCTCTTATTCTGCTTCGGCCTTCATTTGTTCTTCCCTCTCCTCATTAAAGTGCACCCATCACCCCGTTCAGCTCACTTTGAACTCAGTATGTAAACAGGTAACTGCGAGTGTTTAAAGATCATCGTGTGTCGTTCTGCAGTCGCCCTCACGACCATATAAGGGCGTCCAGGTCTGAGCAGTTTATCTCTATGGGCGAAAATGAGCAGCGTTTTGGAAAGTCGCCACTGTGGTTAGAGTTACTGTACGCGTCCACGCGCACTTTGTCTCGCCGTATTCCGCCACTTATGGCCTTTCTTTCGTTTCTGTAATGGAAATGAAAGAATACGAGAAAACAGACTTATACATTTGATGATTTTATACATTTCTGAATGCATCTATCATTCACACAAGCTAGAAAGTCTGACTCAGTCTCACTAGTGAGTAACATACGAGAGTGTAACGATGCAAACTTTGTCCAAAGTCTTCTTCCAAATCACCGTCTGCAGTCCTGAGTAAAACAGATGATAAACTCTTACAGATTCAGAGGAGACAAGAAGAACTGTTGTTTTTCTCGCTTCAGAGAAAGTTTAATGTGGGCCAATTGTGGCGAAGACCCGCCTACTCTCGCATGATTGGCTAAACACAATGCTGCAGCCAGACTCATTTGCATAAAGCACAAATCTTCTGAATCGTTTTGCTGCAACCATCATCACCAGATCCGACAGAGCGTTGAAATGAACTGGATGCAGTGCGGCGAAGTTGCAGGTGGACGCGTACCGTAACACTCCTGCACACTGAAATGACGTCATAAGACTGACCTCACCGAAATACCCAACACAAAACCAGCACACTCTGTCCAGTGTGGTAGTTTAGAAGCATTTTGTCAGTTTGAACTGCTGGTGTTGGTGTAAAACAGTGTTTACAGCAAATAAAGATATCTAAGCATCTTAAATCGAGACAATATATGTAATATTTCTCATTATGAGGTTGAATATTATATGATTATTTACAGTTTGTCTCAGTTTATCTGGAGAAAGTGTTGGTAGATCAGTTTGCTTTAAATATTAATTTAAAATAAGCAAACAAATGAGAAAAATTACATATATTGACTACAATCAAGATGTTTCCACTTGCTTAGATACCATTTTTTGCGATGTGTTGAAATTATAGTTACTTTTACAGTAAAATCAAGTAAATATGCAGCTTGCCTGTAGCGTGTTTGTAGCAAAATTAGCATTTCATCTCTTAATTCAAAGGATCCAGTGATATTCGGGGGAGGGAAATGTATGAGAATAAAAGAATGAAAATCATACGTAATCAAAATGATTCAAGTGTTAGATGTGCATCCACAGTATAACTGTAGAAAATGTAACCACTTTGGACCAATAATAGTGTTGAAGTTCTGTATAATTATAATATCAGGCTTACTTTCACACGGCGTCTTTTCAGTGCGCGGGAGTCGTAGCTTCCTCTGAGCACGGATATAGATAAATCAGAGGATCCAGCGCCCCGTGGGGAAGAGTGCACTGGGGCAGTGTAACGATGCTGTTTACCAGATTTAAACAAAATATTCCCAGTGAGATAAACGGCTTAGACTCAGGACTCGTCCGGATGCTAATAATGAACTACAAAATGACGACACAACCTCTGAAGGTCTATGTGATTAATAACTATACAAAATTAATGTCACTGGTGTAGTTGTATTCATCCTTTCATTCACTGGCTATCACACTGCCAGCCTGCAGGGGGCAGCAGCAGGACAGGCGCTAATATCCACTACATAAACATGTCCAGAGCTTAATCTCAGAGCTGTGGAGTCTGAAGGAATAGATTGACCAGACATGCTAACGTAGCTAACATTAGTGCTGCACCGATACCGTATCGCATCAGCGCCGATACTGACACTGATATAGTATCGATATCAACAGTGTTATGTGCAGTTCTTCTGCACATTGTGTGCAGTTACATATTTCCACCAGAGAGGGCTCCAAATCCCCAAATCCCACATAGTGCTGCTTTAAAGAAAACCATGCCAAAGTGCACAGCGACTTTTCGTAGATCTTAAACCTTTCAAATGTGAAATGATCCAACCAGTAAACGCCAGTTCAGTAAGGTTTATTGGTGACAGAGAACATGGAAGGGTATAAATATCAGGATTTATTGGCACCTATCGATTAGTTAGCTTAGTCGGAGCTATTGATACTCAGTATCGGCAGATAATTAAAGATCAGGTATCAGTATCAAAAGGGAAAAAGTGGTATCGGTGCATCGCCACCAACAATGAGTGGCCATCAGCCAGTGTGGTGTCATACTCTGGTGACCATTCACTTCCATTCAATGTCAGCAATGTTAGCTTTTTTGGTGAAACTATTACTTCAAAGAGGAAAACATGATCCATCAGATGTTGTGTGCAAATGTGTCTGTATGCCATCCTCTGCCCACCGTCATCCCAGACTGTCGCTTTAATTAGCATCTGTCGTTATCTGAAACGTTTTCTAATGAAACAGATGAAAAGCAGAATGGCCGTAATCATGTTTCTATTTTGGCCGTGCCAAACTGCCTTGGAAAATACGTATAAGTATATATATGAATATATATATATTTGAATATATATATATTTGTTTTGAGGGAATATGTTAGAAGATTTGAGAACTTTTCTATTTTAATTAAGATGATTGGTGAATGGGTTTTGTTTGTGATTTATTATGTTTTTGGGTTTTCTGTTTTCTATAGAATATTATAGGCTTTTTACACTGAACTATAAAGAAATGTGCATAGAGACACTGGATTAGAAATGCCTTTATAGTTAAATACAGCTGCTGCTGCTGCTGCTGAGACTGTGTGCCGTGTGTTTATTGGGATCACAAAGTTCTCACACCATCAGCTGCATCACTGCCTCTGCTCTCCTGCCTCTTGGGTTTTAACCCATTCATTTCCATCACTGAAAGGTTAAATGTCATTGTTTCTCTGAGCACAAATTAAAAGAAAAAGGTTTTTTTCCATCAAACAGTTTGGCATATTTGGCACGTCATACCAATTCCTAAGAACTGTGTCGTATTCCTACCAAATCTTCATAACAGTGTCATATCAGTACCAGATCTTCTTAACTGTGTTGTATTCATACCAGACCTTCTGAATCATGTCATATCGCTTCCAAATCTTCTAATCTTCTGAACCATGCAGTGTTCATATAAAAATCTTCTGAATTGTCCCACATTCATACCAGATCTTCTGAGTCGTGTCATATCAGTACCAGATCTTCTTATCCATGCTGTGTTCATACCAAATCATCGCTTCTCGGCCTTTTGTTGATCTGTTCTTATCAGTTTGATATCTGATACGTCCTCTATATGAGGACTACATATTCAATTGATTTTTAGAACAGGAGATGGAAGAGGAGCTCGCTCCGTCTGCTCCAAGCATCGACCTGGTATTGCAGTACCTCCAGGAACGGTGCACCCCTTTTTTGGGGGCAGTTGGGCTGGAGGTTAGGGAACCAGCCTTGTGACCGGAAGTAGGATTAATAAAGGATAACTTAAATCTTCTGGACTGTGCCTGGACTATTAGTACAAAATCATTTAAACCGTACCAAATCATACCTAATAAGCTGCTCAGAGTTCCCTCCTCTGTCCCAGCTCGGTTTCGGCTGTGGTTCAAACTCACAGTGAGAATTTAAAATAGTGAACGCTGTAAGACGGATGAGGCCGAGTGACGCAGCGCTGCACTACAGGATATCACATGACAAAGAACACATCACACGGTTTTAGGCTGGACCGGTCCTTTAAGTGGAGATCTGACTGTGTCCTGCCTGGATGAAGACACTCCAGCCTGTCACTGAGTCAGTGAGAGGAGAAACGAGGACGTCCAGAGCAGGAGAGGTATATCAGCGGGCTGCCCACAGAGAGGGGCACCAGAGATGGATCCAGGTGTTGAGAGGACCCCCCACTCCAACAGGAACACATAAACAAAGAAACAACTATGCAGAACACGAAAAGTGAGATCAGTGTTCATGTGTACATATAACAAATCAAAAAAATAAACAAAATTATCTTTATTGATGTGTGATGTCACTGTGTGTCTACACTGGAAGACTGGATTAATGGATTAATATTTTATTTTTGTGTAAAATTTGATCTTTGTTTTGTAAAATTTTATTATCTTTATTATTTTTGTAACATTTGATCAATTTTGTGATTTTAATATTTATTTTTCTATTTTTCAAACTGAGTTATGGAAGCGTAAATGCTGACACTGCTTTCAGGTGGTCTCAAGTTTCATTGGAAAAACATTTTTCCCACCAGGAAGCACCACATGAACATCCACCTGAGTTGGATGATGAAGTCAGGCACCTCAAATTTGTGACACCAACACTATTTTGGTCTCAGTGAAGCACAGAAGAGTAACTACACGAATGTAATAAACGCTGAAGTGAGTGTTTTGTACAGTTAACTGACATTTTATTTCTGCTTGAGTTCAGAACAGCTGTAAAACAGGCCCGACCTGACCGCCGGCAGCTCATAAACTACACCAGCCATTTCACAACCTCAGCGTTCTGTTAGTCTCTCACATTAACCACGAGTGCCAGGCTGTGTGGACGACTTCCTCCTCCGAGAACCCAGCAGCACTGACAGCACCATCACTCCACACTGCAGAGCACTAGAACTGCACCACCTTCACTGTTTCTGCTTCACTAATTTGTTAAAATTACTGCTACAGATCTGGTAACAAACAGTATTTCTTATAAAGCCCTGATTTACTGGGGTAAATATATTCTGAATGAAGCTAAATTGAGTTCAGATCAGTTCATCTGGAGTCCTGCAGACTGAAGAGTCTTTGTCCAAAAAGCTTTTTAGCATTCTTAGTTATTTATTTAGCTTCTGTTGATGAACTCTTATTTTGTAATTTATGAATATAATTCTCTGTGTAAAATGTTATTTCAGGGTCAGAACAGACTCATAAATGTGAATGCTGTTCTCTCCATGATGGAGTTTATCAGTTCAGTCTGGAGCAGTGAGCGCTAACAGAGCGGCTAACAGGCATTAAACTGTCTGAGTCTCAGAAACGGCTGATTAAGCCTTT